GACAAAACAAACTGTAGTCACAGTAGTAGGTAAACGGTGTGTGTAAACAGTGAAAGAAGCCTCACGCTTTGATGAAATATAATATTGGACCCCATTGGCTGCCATCAAAAGATCATTTATATAAAATAACTGACTTGCTAGTTCTCAAACACTCCAGTGTTACACGTCCTCCTCTAACCCCAACTTCATTCTCACGCCTTAAGCTGCTGATTAGAATGCGAGTAATTAAATGCCACAAAAGGAAGTCTTGAACCAAACGTCTGGAATGCCAGAAAAACTGCCCATTGTCTCTAAAGACTAAATTGTCTTCAGACCAATAGCCGATGGGTTCCACGCTTGAAATAGTAGTTCTTTGTACCTGAAGGGAGAAACACAGGTCCTCTGCAGCACACTGACCAGAGTTCAGCATCTTATGAGAAGCTTCCTATGTAAAAAAAAAAAAAAAAAAAGGGAAAGAAGTTCATAAAGCAAAAGATTTATTAAATCAAGTGTTGCCTTGTCTTGATAAATAGTTACAGTTATTAGACAAGCAATCCACTCACCTCAATATGAGATAAAATCCCCGAAAATGAGACGTCCATTCCTTTTACTGTGTATGGAAGCTCCACATACTGAGTCCCTCTAACACCATTGACAAGAAGGAAAGTTAACTAGTAAATAATTGTAGAGTAAAAGCAAACACTAAGCACACAACAGTGAAGCTGCTTGGTGGTTCTCGCTCACTTTTTGGCCATCTGCTCTATGTTGTAGCCTGGACTGGGGTCATTGGAAATCTGAGGGAAGAAACAGTTCCGCACAAAGAATTTACACCCATCACAAAAAGTAACAAGCAAAAGTCTCTCTTATAAAGACCAGAATAGCGCAGACCTTTATAACTCTGGCAAACCGGTCAAGACAGTTGCCAACCGCGATGTCAATGGTCTCCCCAAATATTCTGTACCGCCTCTCTGAGTATGCAATAACCTGCAGAGGAAGAATAAACAGTTTTACCTGATTAAGTTAAAACTGTTGACTTACTGTGTAAATTGATATTGCAGATCTGCCACCACTGTGTGATAGCTGATCATCGGGACGTGAGCACATGCAGACTCATAGCTCTCCCCCAGGAGCAAGGCTTTCACCAAACCACCCTGTGTGTTCCTTCCACTGACATAAAGCACAGTGGGGTTATTGCCTTGTGTGATGAGTCGGCCCATCTCGATGTGTCCAATACAGTGGTTGACACCGAGGAGCGGCTTCCCCCAAAGCTGTGCGACTGTACGAGCCACAGGAGCCACGCTCACCAAGGGGGCCCCTATCCCGGGACCTAGATGAGAAGAATGAAAATAAAGTGAGAGAGAGACAGACATACCCTTTCTTACATCATTGTTTAAGAGAGAACATCATATTATTTTGATGATGCCTTGGGAACACGTCTTTTATCCTTGTCTCACTCCAACTCAGAAACGCTGGCCGGCCAGTTGACCCCCCCCCCCCCACACACACACGCAATAAAAAACAGCTCAAAACGCTTTAAAAGGACCTTTCATCATTCACACACATGGCAGGAGCTACCATACACATTACCAACTGTCCATCAGTAACTAACATCCCCACTATTCAAACAATGTAGTCACAGCTATTGGAACAATTTGGGGTTAAGTGGACACACCGACATGTTTACAAGTGGAGCCGGGGATGTGACTTTCAATCCTTTGTTTGAAGGACAACCCTGTTCTCCACTAACTCACAGTTGCCCTTGCAAGCGATGCCTTGCTCAAGAGAAAACAAGCTCTCTTTAGGCAAACGCCCAGGAGGTAACGTTACCTTTAGTGTATGCTACACAGTCAATGTCTGCAGGCTTCAGCCCTGCCTGCTCCAACGCCTCCTTTAAAACAGTCAGTATGACAGCACGGTGGTGCCTGGCAGTGTCACTCGGCATGAACCCTGATTGGAGAAACAACATGTTGTGAACCTCAGATGCACAATAGTTAAGACTTTCAAGTATCAGCAGTAGAGCAAAACTGTGATAACTGACTTGCCTTGTCCAGGAGGGGTAATATAGGTCCTTCTAGGGTTGGAAAGGACTTCACCATCCTTGATAATTCCGATGCCGATCTTATTGGCACTGCCCTCAAATCCAATAACGACAGTCATGGTAGCTAAAAAAAAAGGTAAAGAAAAAAGTATTGTTTTGGTTGGAGGTCAAGAAGGTTTTGGTTATGGAAGTGTGACCAGTTTGCCACCATGGCAGAAGAGAATAATGAGTCCAAAGAGTTAAAAGAAAATAATACAAAATAAAATGAATAATTGTTAAAATGTGCAAAAAGTACCGACTTGGTCTGGACTAAAAATGACAAACGAGGAAGACCAAAACCGGAGACGCCAAAGAAGAAGGCTTGTCAGGGGTTTTTCCTTAAATAAAAGAAATTGCATGTTAAATTTAGACTTCTTCGCTAAAATTGAAGTAAATATAATCTGTGCAGGACTATTGGGGACTACGGGTCAAGGAGAATAAGGGTCAAGTGGGAAGGAGATGCAGACAGATTCAGGTACATTTTTATATCGCAACACAAACATCACTTAACTGTGGACCTGTAAATTTACACAACACTAAAATGTCATGACAAAATGTTAATGTTCAGTAATGACCACGAAAACCAGGTAATACATATTTAACTACATTATATAAATAAAATAATAAAACAATATAATGTTCCCAAAGACAAGGGAAGTGGCCTGTTTTTGAATTTTTTGTATAATTAATAATTGCGCCCAAAGTTAAATAAAGTACAGTGATGAAGATAGTTATAAAACTTTCACACCCTGATATTATATGATTATGATATACTGTCATCACTAAGTGTCCTATATAAAAGTTCACATGGTTGAGATCAACTATATTATTCATACACTTTTGGCAATATGTAGTTTTGAGTGCATATGGAAACCTGATCAATTAATCATTTTGTGAACCAATTTGATTGAAAGCTTGATCTCAACATCACTAGTCAAGTGTATACTAAAGTAAAATTACCTCATCTTAAAATGTTCAACTTTGATAGTTATAATATTACACACTACAACAATTTCCAGAATTGAATACTATATTGAAATGTATCATTTGAATCTAATACTTTTAATGTAGTCTGGCCTCATAACCATGAACCAATTAACGTTATAATTTGTTAGAAATATGCCCAAGTCAAAAGAATTGTCCAAAAAGTTCAGAGAAGAGATCATTGCCTTGCACAAACAAGGAAAAGGATACAAAAAGATAGCAAAAGCACTGAATGTCCTTAGAAATACAGTTGGAAGCATAGTTCGCGAGTTCAAAGTTGAAGGAACAGTGGCTACACTACCTGGACGTGGCAGAAAGAGGAAGCTATCAGCGGCTGCCACCAGATTCCTGAGGAGGAAAGTGGTCAAAAACCCTCGAGTGACTGCAAAACACCTGCAGCAAGACTTGGTGGCAACAGGCACTGGGGTTTCAGTTTGCACAGTAAGGCGCATACTAAACACTGAAGGGTTCCATGCCTGGACTCCAAGACGCACACCACTACTGACCCAAAAGCACAAGAAAAGTCGGCTCCAATATGCTGAAAACCATATAAATAAGCCACCGAAGTTTTGGAATTCAGTTCTGTGGAGCGATGAGACAAAACTAGAACTATTCGGGCCTCTGGATCAGCGGTATGTCTGGAGGAAGAAGAATGAAGCATATGCTGAAAAGAACACCCTGCCTACAGTGAAGCATGGCGGTGGCTCAGTGTTGCTCTGGGGCTGCTTTGCTGCCTCTGGCACTGGAAACCTGCAGCGTGTGGAGGGCACGATGAATTCAGTCAAATATCAGGAAATCTTAGGAAAAAACGGCATGCCGTCTGTGATGAAGCTGAAACTTGAGCGTCATTGGACCTTCTAACAGGACAATGATCCCAAGCATACCTCAAAGTCCACCAAGGCTTGGTTTCAGAAGAAGAAATAGAAGATTCTAGAGTGGCCGTCACAGTCGCCTGACTTGAACCCCATCGAAAATCTCTGGTGGGATTTGAAGAAGGCGGTTGCAAAACGCACACCCAAAGAATATTACTGAACTGGAGGCCATTGCCCATGAGGAATGGGCTAAGATTCCTCTGGAACGCTGTCAGAATCTGGTGTCTGGCTATGCATCACGTTTGCAGCAGGTCATAACAGCAAAAGGGTACTCTACTAAGTACTGAAGATGCTTGTCGTGAAGGGGTTGAATAATTTTAAGACTGCAGTAAATTCATTAAAGTCATTAAAAGTAGCATTTTGTGTTGAATTTGGACAAAACCTTTTGTAATATTAGTTTCATTAAACTACTTAAACAATTCTTGTGTAATTTGTTTATTGCAAACAGCTGAGAAATTGTATATTTTGCCAATAAACCTAATGTGCAATTAGGGGGGTTGAATAATTTTGATTGCAACTGTACAAATGGGATTTTCCAGACGGGCGCTTTTGAATGTAACACTATGCGTTGAGACAATACACTCACCTCTCGATACATTCAAACCTAGAAAATGTAACATTATACTACACGTAGTGTACAGATCGAGCTTGGGCAAAGAAAAGTGGCGTTAATTAAAGCATCCTGCACAGGTGTGTGGTTAGCTGTTATGCTGGAAGTCAGTGACAACACACCCTAACCCTAACCCTTAAAACCAGGTTAACCATATATTAACCCGGAATTTAATATCAAAATATGTATACCTCGTTTTCTTTCGAAGATTCAATTAGATCCAGATCCTTGCCAGTTAAACTCTTAAACTGATAATACAAACTTCCTCACTTCAACTCATGCATTGAACGGGGTCTTAAACGGTCCCTAACATTGACAGCTACACACATGGCCTCACCCAAAACCTTTTGTCTAAATAATGTTTCACTCAGCAAAAACGTCAAGATACTGCAATATGCTCCACGGAAGCTATCGTTGCGTATTTATTTTCCAATATATAAATACACAATAAAAATCTTTTGTTATTTGTCATTTCTATCAGGCATAGGTGTAGGCACTCAGTGAGTGCATCGAACACGTGGTGAGGAATCGACGCAGTGCATAGTTAGTGCGCTGGAGCGAGGCGCAAAAGAAGTATTACCCCGTCTGTGGATCCTGTTGTGAAAGTGCAAGTAAGATTATTTGCATCCCTTTTCCTCAAACGGGTTGCTGGTTAAAATGAAAACGGGTGCATCGTTTGACTGTATTTGCATTCGTAGGTGAAAGAAGATGAGTGTGAAGCCAGCTGACTCTTTCACCCGCCATGCATTTCTCGGCGCGGGCCGCCTGCTCGTTCCCTTTGTCATAACGGATGGGCTAGCGTTAGCATGGCTGGCCCCGTGTAGCGCGAAGAACAGCGCAGATGGTTTTCTTGGGCGTTTCGCGTCTTTCCTGCTTGCTGTTAATTGTGCATTCAGCGGCGTAGCAATATAATAACATGTTTGTATTGAATGTGCTTCGCTATGAGCTCCTCTGCAGCAACAACTTGCATCAAAATGCGCGCTGCTTCCGCTTTGTCAAAGGATTTAGTAGATTTCTAAACGTGTCCCAAACAAACAATTTGCCGTATAAAACGGAGGGATTTGGTATTACGGGACACTGGTAGTATTTCGGCCAACACCAGTATGTTAAAATGCAGCTTTTAGAGGGTTACGTTAGTTCTCACGTTAAGTTTTCAAATTTGCCTCTTTGTATTATTGTAAATGTTTGCAGATGACGTTATGTAACAAAGTGCAACCGAAAATATAATTCAATACAAACATGCTCTGCTCAATATTTTTTCTCAGGTTAGCCTTTAAATTGCCAGGAAAACACCAGAATAATTTTCAGAATCCAATGAAACATCTTCCAATAGCTTTTTGTTTTATTAAACTGGCATTCGAATGATCGAGTTTCTCAAGCATTACTGTAAAACATGCAAATGATTTGGCCCTACTTGCACAGTGGGAAACAACTGTTAAACTCATGCATGTTGATGTTAAAAGTTTCAGAGAAACACATCACATAATTTAATCCTGTTTTTCCCCAGCGGCTTGGGTAGTGTTGTGTGTGCGTGCTGTGTGTCTGCGAGGTGTGTTTGCAGTCAGAGCGACATCAAGTATGAAGAGAGGAAAGAAGGCAGAGGAGGCGGCCACTGACGGGGAGAATGAGACTGGCTCCGGTATGACCACCAATGCTTTCTCTTTTCCCGCTGTCAAAGGACTTTTTATAAATTGAAACATGTTGGATCCTCCACTTTCCTCACCCTGTATGTGTATTTCACCTCACAGCTTCAGCAAAGAAAACTAAGAAGGCTAAGGAACCAGAGGCCCCAATATTGTACGAAGATCCGCCGGACAAAATGACGAGCAAAGATGGCCGCAACGGCAACGTTAAAATCACGTCCTGGAACGTCGACGGCCTGAGGGCCTGGGTGAAAAAGAACGGCCTGGATGTTCGTTTGCAGTGACCAAAGGCAACGTGCATGATTTCCATTTTGTTAGCAGTTTAATTCTAACCAATTGTTTTCTTGTTTCTCCCAGTGGGTGCGTGAGGAGAATCCAGATGTTTTGTGCCTGCAGGAGACAAAGTGTGCAGAGAAATCCCTCCCCGCTGACATTACCTCAATGCCCGAGTACCCTCACAAGTATTGGGCGGCGTCAGATGAGAAGGAGGGTTATAGTGGTGTGGCCATGCTGTGCAAGACCGAACCCCTAAAAGTCACCTATGGCATCGGTGAGTGGTGTCTCTATAGCGTCTATCGATGGGTCTACACTGATGGGCTGTAAAGGACTTTGTATTTTCTTTTTTTCCCCAGAAGTTTAGCTTCTGGGGAATCGCTTACCCTTTAGTTTGTGTGTGGACTAAACAAATGACTGGTTAATTACCGAGCCGTAGATTTAACTTTTAGCAGAGGCAGGCTAACATGTTTCATTTTTTTATGCTAAGTGCCTGCTGACCACAGGTTCACAATTACTGTACAGATGACAATGCAAGGTGACCATATTTCCAAAACGGCAGGAAATATTACTGAAGCAAGTTACACAAAAATTCAGAGTAACTTGCTGAACTTTTATTGCCCTAAAATAACTCTGGACACAAGTGTACACAATACAGGCTTGAACTTTTAAATCATGGTAAACGTTCCTTTCTTAACTGCTCCTTACGTTGCAACGCCCCAGGCAAAGAAGAGCATGACAAGGAGGGTCGTGTCATCACCGCAGAGTTCCCCAACTTCTACCTGGTGACCGCCTATGTGCCGAACTCCGGAAGAGGCCTTGTGCGTCTAGATTACCGCAAAACGTGGGACGTGGACTTCCGGGCGTACCTGAGCGAGCTGGACATGCAGAAGCCCCTGGTGCTGTGCGGCGACCTCAACGTCGCACACCAGGAGATCGACCTGAAGAACCCGAAGGGGAACAAGAAAAGCGCTGGATTTACCCCCGAGGAGCGCGAGGGCATCAGCCAGCTGCTGGAGTCCGGTTTCACCGACAGCTTCCGCGAGCTCTACCCCGAGCAGGCAAACGCCTACACCTTCTGGACCTACATGATGAACTCCCGGGGAAAGAACGTGGGCTGGAGGCTTGATTACTTCCTCTTGTCGTCCAGCCTGCTGCCAGGCCTGTGTGACAGCAAGATCCGCAACAAGGCCCTGGGAAGCGACCACTGCCCTATCACGCTGCACATCGCCGTGTAGGTCGCTGTCTGAGCGGGCTGCAGCTCTCCGCGGCCCCGCTGGTTTCTCAGTGTTAACTTTCCAGCTCTGCAGTGGTGTAGTTTTTTGTCTAGTCCTTTTAACAGTTTTTTCGATGACACATTTAATTTCAATTCATGACGAGCACAACACATAGTGTCCGTTTAACCTCTTCATACAGTCGACGTTTGTCAGTAAACCCAGTGGTGTGTGATGTCAAACACCAGTTTCAACAATGATCCGTGATGTTAGTTTTTCTGTACTGCAGCTGATCTGAGAAAAGTTTCTGTGCCCAACAGCCTGCAATTTGTCACTGTCTCGATTTAAAACTGCTGCTAAAAAAAGTGTTTTAAGCTTATTTTGCAACAAAATTGTAGTAGAGAATTTCCAATAAAAGGCTGAATTTATGCACCTTTTTTGCATTATTTGAAGACGAGATGAGAAAAGACCTACGCATCTAAAAACCCTCTGCTCCGTGTGCTTTAATCATAACTTGGAAAACATCAAACTACATCTATATACTACAAGCAGATCACTACAATTGCACAGGGGATGTAAATCATGAATACACTTACAATTGATTTTATTCCACTCAAACATTGTCCAGATCAATAGTTAAATGTCTTCACTATTTCATTTTCATAATGTGTGTCCTTTGATGTATTTTGAGATTATAGGACTGCCGGAATCCCTTGCCGCATTCTGCGCAGAGGTAGGGTTTTTCCCCTGAATGTGTTCTTTGGTGTCTCTTCAGGCGGTTGGCGCTGAGGAAGCTCTTGTCGCACTCGCTGCAGGAGTACGGCCGGACTCCTGTGTGGTAGCGCAGGTGGATGGTCAGGTAGCAGGACTGCGTGAACCTCTTCCCACAGTGGGGGCACTGGAAAGGCTTGTGGCCCGTGTGGAAACGCTCGTGCTTCAGGAGCTCTGCGTGGGAGAAGAAGGCCTTCCCGCAGTCGGAGCAGAGGTAGGGCCGCTCGCCCGAGTGAGTCAGCTCGTGGCGGATCAGGGTGGCCTTGTAGACGAAGCTCTTGTCGCACTGCGAGCAGCCGAAGACGTTTTCCCGCGTGTGGCAGCGCTCGTGCTTCTTCATGTTTCGTTCCCTCTTAAAGCTCTTTCCGCAGAAGGAACACATGAAGGGCATCTCCTCTGAGTGGATCTTCATGTGGCTCAGCAAACCCCCCTTATAGAGGAATCCCTTGCCGCACTGCGCACAAGTGTGCGGCCGCTCCTTTCGATGGATGCGTTGGTGCGCGGTGAGGGCCGCTTGGTAGGCGAAGCTCTTTCCGCAGTTGCATGTGTGAACTCTCTCTTCCTGGTGAGTCTGGAGGTGTCTGTTGAGGTAGCTGACACAGCTGAAGCCCAGGTCACAGCGGGGGCATTTGTAGGGACGCCCCAACCGCTCTGCATCCTCGCCGTGAGTCTTCAGGTGTCTAACCAGGGCCGACTTCCAGGCAAAGGTCCGGCCGCACTCCGAACACAGGTACTCTCCGTTCTCCATGTGGGTGCTCTTGTGCTCCCTCTGAGCCACCAGGGACTTGAAGAACTCCCCGCAGATCAGGCACTCGTACTTGCGGCCGGCTTTGTGCGTCTGCCTGTGCCTCTCAAGCGACTGCTTGAAGGAGAACCGCCGCCCGCACTGAGAACACAGGAAGGGCTGTTCGCCCGTGTGGATGCGCTGGTGCGCTTTGAGTAAGGACTGGAACTTGAAGCTCTTCTCACAGTCCGGGCAACTGAAGCCCTCTTCATCCGCGAGGGGCTGAACGTACGGCTCCACGGCGTGCTGGACCTGGGATTCCTCTGAGTGGTGGAAGGAGGACTCGAGACTGGAGAAAGCAGCCGATGAGCCATCTGCAACAGAACCTTCAGGAAGAAACAAACACACACTGGAGCGAAACATAACGTATGAAGAAATGCTAAAAACTTGTGCTTGCCTTTTGGACTTTTACATTTTAAAGATCCATTAAGTGGGTTAACTTAACCCCCCCCCAATTACAAGTCTTGCCCATTCATTAAGTGGTGAAAAAGATCAAACAATTTAAATAGTAAAAGTGAACTCACCATCTTCAACGTCCTTTGCAGACACCACAAGCGACCCATAAGAGTGCTCTGCACTGTTAAACAGAAAGCAGAAATCAACATGAGGGGCTTGATTGTTGGAGGTCCTACCTTAGGAATTATACGTTTGACTGAACATAATATGCCACATCATATTTCTCTGTAGTAACCTTGTTATAAACAGGATAAAAAGCAGAAATATTTTTAAAAAGACAAGAATTGGATAGTCATTACCAATTTAAAGGCATCGGTCTCAGCTCTAGAGGGTCGGCATTATTGATCCTCCTCCTTCGTTTACTGCCCATATGCTTCTGTAAATCTATCACTTGGATCTTCATGGTCGGTTTGCGTTTTCGTCCACTCGTGCGGACCGTCGCCGGGGTAACGAACTCCGTGTCAGGTTCGGGCGCGGTGCATTTGGGCTCAGGTGTGGCCCGCTCACTGCTCTGAGCCGCCGCGACCTCCGGCCCTCCACCGCCATCATCCGCCAGCAGCCGGCCGTCAGAGTCTGCAGGTGCAACGGGAGCATTGCTGATATTTTCATCACCTACAGCGACCTCTTGTCCTTCCTCACTGCTTGCTGTGGGCTTGTTTGCATTGTGATCATCAGCGTGGGTTTTGAGGTGCCTTGCGAGTGCTAGCTCCCAGTTAAATCCTTTGCCGCAGCGATGACACGCGTAAACCCTGTGTGCCATGTGCGTGAGCTCGTGCTTTGTCCGGCCGGACAGGGAGACACAGTCGTACTTGCGTCCGGTTCTGTGCGTGTGTCTGTGCCGGTCAAGGGACTGCCTGAACGAGAAGCAGCGGCCGCAGTCGTTGCACCGGTGGGGGCGTTCCCCCGTGTGGATGACCGAATGGGCAATCAGCGAGGAGGCGAACTTGAATTTCTTCTCGCAGTCCGGGCAGTCATGAGGCCCCGCCGAGACTTTGTCTTGGGAGGACGCCAAGTAGTCCTTGTTTACCAGTGGATGGTTGATGTCAGAACCACCCACAGATCTATCCTGCGATGCCTCTTCCCCTGCTTCACCCACCTCTTGTTCTACGGCTGCTTCTCCGGGAAGTACTACCAACGAACCGTAGGCCTCTTCGCCTTTAGTGCAGTGTTCTCCAGTCGCCACCTCGATGCCGGTGCTCGCGTCTAACTCCACCTCTGCGTAATCGGTCACAGCGATGACCTCAGCGGCTACGTCATCCACGTATGACACGGTGCGCGCGTCATTCCAGTCGCCTTGCAGTGGATTCGATCGGCCGGGTATTTCCGTAGGTTTGCCCGCTTTGCCAGACGGAGCTGCAGAAAGGGAGGACAGGATGCTGCCGCCCATGCTGGGCGGTGGAACTGCAGAGAAAAGGACAAGGATGTTACGGTCGAATAGCTCCGTCGGAGAAATACAGCCTCAATGGATATGGGAAGCGATTTACCATGCTGCTCTAAATGTCCGAGCTGTTTGTGGTGCTGGAGCAACAGTTTCAGGTCCGTAGGCTCCGAGACTGAGTGCACACAGTCGTCCAACACAGAGCTTTCGGCTCCAAGCCAGGAAACCGTCTGTGGGGGATGCATGAAAACACACATATAACATTTTCTAACTTCAAATTAGACATAAAGACATTTGATTTGATTAAAAACACATTGCTGACCAAAGCGTTTGTGTAGCACTGCCCCTCATTGCGGCACCACTTCTTGAGTTGGAAGGTGTCGAGTGTGCATTGATTTCTCAGGGATCGACCACGAAGGTACCCATTACTCAAATTTCAGCCTTTTCACATTGTATTGAAAGTACTGCTGTGCTTGGTCCTGTCAGGTCTTTGTACAACCCATTGGAGGCTTCACATACACTTGTTTATTTGATTAGCAGTAAGATAATCTCATGTGCCACTGAAAAAGACATTAACATTGCTCCTTAATTAGTAACTCAGTTCGTATCGGAACGCCCGTAGCCACATGCCTTAAGGTAAGTACCAATGTCCATGGCTAGTTCCAGTTGTGTGTGCTCTTGCTTTAATGTAATGATATTTCTAACTACACTTTGAATTCTTAATGTTGTTTCTACCAACCAGCATATATAAACGTATCCACGTGAACAATGGAGCATACCATCTGTGACTTTTGAAATTGACGCTGTTATCTACCATTTCTGCAAGGATTATGTCAATTCAATTATATTTATTTTAAATAGCACAAAATCACACATTTCAAATTTAGCAGTAGTAAGCTAAACAGTTTGATGGGGAGACACTTAACGTTTTATAAAAAATTGACTAAATGACACCCCTCACCTGCTCGAGATCTGGAACCGGCAACAGCTTAGCCAGTCGACAGAGGAACTCTGAAAACAGCATCTGCAAGTCGCTGTCATACTGAGGTCCATACTCCGCAGGGAAAACCTCCTTTGAATGACACAAAGAGTTCATTTTTTTGCATTGCACATACAAATACAATGTTTGGTTCTTTTCCTGTAAGCAAAACCGCCCACCAAGAAAAATCCTTCTCTCTCTTTGGGATCTTTGAGCAGAGTCTGGATCAACTGAAGAAAGTTAACCACTACTTCGTCCTCTTGTGATTCTTTAAACTGCAATAAAAGCATAGAAGAAAGACAAAGACATGTACAAATTCACGACTGAAAAACCTCCTAAATTAAATTGTAAAAATGCTTTTTGACGAGCTAATAACAACAAATGTTTACTATGAACATATAATCTAAGAAGAAGAAATCCTACAAAAAAGGGAAGGATATAAACTAATCTCGATTTGGGACACTTACAGCATTCAGGATGAGGTATTGTGGTTTAATCTGGTTCAGGATGGACAAGATGAAGTCCGGCTCCACAGACTGTTCACTTCGGCACAACTCAAGAATATACTGATGAGGAGATAGCGTTCACAATACAGTTAACACTTCTTTTTCTGTCTGTAACTTATATAATGGCCTCCATCATAAAGAAATTCTTAGAAATAAATGCCTGGTATCCTCCACCGGTACCCACCCTAGCTCTTAATCCCAAAATAAGTTGGATCCTGTGCTTGTACATTAGTAGCTCTGGGACCATGTCCATCACCAAAGAGACAAACTCTGCCACTTTCCAGTAGTTCAAGACATCTTGTTTCCTCAGAACCTGCAACATGGAGGCTGCCATAAACTGGAAAGGTGGCACCAGGAGGCGCAGCGACGCCTGAGGTAAGAGGTTTCCTGAAAGTAGAGAAGCATTCAGACACAAAGTGAATGCAGCAGACTTTCCCATCCCATTTATCCTAATTTAACGGATATGTTATGAGCCTGGCATAAAGGGGAAAGAACATTTGTCCAATCAATGATCACACTATAAGATGATGTGTAGTACTGGGGCTGTAATGTACAGTCTTGAGGTCATCTTGGAAAAATATTTTGTTTCGATTGTTTTTAAAACACCGTAAAGTGATGAATACTGATTCACAACATGAAAACACCACAAATGTAAAGACAGTTAGTCAATAGCTATGTTGCCCATGTAGGTGCTTTTGTGTATCATCTAAACGCTATAGACGCAGCGATGCGTTTTGAATGCGACTTCACTAGAAACACCGAGGGTGTGTTCAAGAACAACATCAACAACAACAGTTTGCCATTTGACACGCTGAAACAGTTTGTAGATACAGCGCTCACTTATGTGAAAGTGTGCATGCGATGCATAGCATTCATTCAAAGAAACACGTCAAGGTCTCTTTGCTATCCGAATGTAGCTTTGAGTTAATGGCTATTAAGCGAACCTGCCTAGAATTAATTAAACCATTGATAAAGTGAACGTTAACGTTGGATGAACTATCACCAGCTCCAATTTTACTACAGATTTGCATCTAACCGTTTTTCAGAAAACCAACCTTCAGAAACGGCTGTGAAAACGCTTGAGTCCATCTTCTTTCAGCTTTGTTGAAAATGGTTTTAGAGTAAGGGCAAGCTGAAATTGTGGCACAGGAAGCTCACCGAGGAACTTCCTGTTGCATGCTGATGTGCCGCGGCGACTGTGCGACAGCTGCATCGAGTTACGGCAGCTGCCTGGGCTGTTTGATTTGTGTAACCATAGATACACATGTCTGTGTGTAGCGGACCGGTGCCTCGGCCGAAACGGACGGAGAGGTACCACAGCAATTTGTGGTGGTACAATACGGTCCTTAAGAGTACGAGTGTTAGTTGTAATTTGTTTACTAATAAAACGCCAATAAGTGTCACTAAATAACCTACAAGGGCAACTTGTTGAAACTACTGCAACAGTGTTGGGAGGAATTTTCTGAACATTTGATTTATATTGTAGAGAGAATGCCACGATTTGTTTAGCTACCTTTATGTTTTGAACAAATGAGTGTCTAACGTTTTCTCATTAGGGTCAACAGGTGCGTCCCGGAGTTGACGGCAGGTACGACCACGTTTCCTTTGTCCGTGCTGGCCCAGTCTGGTGTCCTTTTAATTTGTCTTTTTAAATGGGTGCACCACTTTTACTGGGTTTTTACGGATTTGCGAAATCTCTGAGACTACTTTTAGATTCTTTTGTGATTCAGAATGGAATATTTTGTGTTTTAAATGTATTTGAGTTGCCTGCTACTGTGCTGCTTCTTGCGGGTGTAAACAAATGCAGTGTAGGCTTTTGAGCACTTCTTAATATTATCACAGGTTATAGAGCGGTTTTCGAAACTGTATTTATTTCTAACTTTATAAATCCATCGTGAAAAATGTAATTGATTTGCAAATAGCAAATAGTTTATTCTGCTGGTGTATGGCGGCAAATCACTGTCAAAATTCGAGAGTGCAAATCGGGTTGATCAAACCTCCGCGACCCAAAGTATGTCTCGCGCGAGATATTTGCTCGCGGAGCCAGTCACCATGGTATCTCTACATCTATTGGTTACAAACCCCGTCTTTGGATTGGCTGGAGTTATGCATTCACACAACTATAGAAGCCCATTTCTGCACTAAAGAAAGGGGAGAGAAAGTCGAATTTATGAGATAAAATGTTGTCAAAACACAAATGACACCATTACATCATTACCGGCACTTCGGCCGCACATTAAGACCAATGCGTCCAGCTCACAGACCGGTCCGTATTAGTAAAATGAAGTCCGAATCTGTGAATATGTTGCCAACTTTCAATACAGATCGATTTTTGGAAAATCTAAATAATGAGATAAGATTTGCGCAGGCTCCCCCATAGTTAGGTAAAGTTGGAAAGTGAGGACAGATTCTGACTTTCCAGTTCAAAAGCTGGTCAGCGAAACATTGTTAAAACACAAACGACGCTTCTCTTTAACAGTGATGTCGACAACCAGCTACAAACCCTAATTAACCCTAATTTTACTATGACGGACTGGTCTGCAAGCTGGACGAATCGCATTGGTCTTAATGTGCCTGTGAAACGTATGAGGGGCCGTTTAGGACTTAACTACTGAGACACTCTGACCCCATGCAGACGGACTCTAGTTTTCCTGAACCCGGGTTCATTTTTCACACCTACCCACTTTTTAAATCGCGTGCACATGAACCCAGTGAATCCGATTGACTCCGCTGTAGTACATTCCCCACGCCGGTTGGTGGCGCTTTAAGGTGCTACAGACAACTGAAGAAGAAGACAGGAGCATGCGTGAGACATGCGCGCCGTATACAAACGAAAACCCCACAGAAGAAGAAGACGACGACTGGGTTGGATTGCATGCAATCACGTGATGCAATCACGTGGGGCAATCCGATTAGGTATGCAGATAGCGTGCAGACGAACACCAACAGCAATCGGATTTCGAGTTTACTCACTTTGGACCCCCGATTCGAGGGAGTGCGGATACAGTTACAGTGCGTTCGTCTGGGCTATCTGGAGACGGGGTTCACCGGGTTCAGGCAAACTAGAGTCCGTCTGCACGGGGTCTCAGTGGTGTGCGTGAGAGTGTCTCAGACCCCGTGCAGACGGTCTCTAGTTTGTCTGAACCCGGTGAACCCCGTCCCCGGATAGCCCTATCGTGCAGACGAACGCACTGTATCCGCACAGTGTATGTACAAGTTTTACTTTAAAAGAGCTGACCGAATCTGCCCGCCGGACTGAAAGTGGAACCTGGTTCCACAAAAGAGGGGCTTGATAACTGAAGGCTCTGGCCCCCAGCCTTCTTTTTAAAACCATTGAAACAGTTGATTGCACTTATTCTGCAATGGCAATTGGGTTCCAAAACCGGTTGCTTAGCAGAACTTTTGTCACTGTCGTCAATGGTTTTACATCCAATCCTAAAAATAGTTACAGAAAGAGATATAGAAAGTGTTGATTCATAAAGTCTTGCGTGCCGTTTCCTGAAGGCAACACGGTTGAGGAAGGTTTTCACTCTTATCTGTTAAGCTGAAAGTGAATAAAAGATCTGAAACTTGAGAATATTAGATTTCAATCTGAAAATACAATATAGTGAATATCAAAAAATATTTATCAGTGAAGAATGGAAAAATGAAATAATGAAATAGAACTGACTAAAATATATATTCAACCAAAAAAGACATTTCGTCCACTTGTTTTTATTTTGAATACATTGCTGTATTCTTCAATGTTCAAAACCAGAACTTAAACTTCCTGCTGTTTTGTTTTTCAAATGATAGAAACTTTTGTGCTGGATTTGGCTCCATAGCTTTTTCGGCTTATTGTAGCCAGGACTCTTAACGCTTCCAACCGGGTGAAGCATTCATATCTGTGTTTATGATGAGACACACTTTAGTCCATTGTGGATGGATGCTATGACAGATTTCTGATTCATCCGCTTCGATGGGTTTTGTACTGCAGGTTCGGCATGGTGAGTCTGAAAGAAATATAAACTTTATTGCTAGTTTCAGGGCGATCTTCTGATGCTTTTTTAACATGGTAGCATTTAGCATTGAAGGACTGCCCAAGTTGTACACCACCATACACACAATGTTGGGACTCCTTTGTACAGTTCATTTATTAAGTAATGTAAGGGAAAAAAATTCCATTTCTCTGTTGTCAGTAAGAATCATGTCCCCATCACATGGAAAGCACTAAGATGAGCCGCAATGCCGGACTGCAGATGGAAACAGAGTGTGAGACGTTGACCATTCCATATATATGGCAACAATCAACTCCTGCAATTCTGCAAGATATTCCCAAGACAAGATGCATTAAGTTGTTAAATGTGATCATTTCTTAGTTTTTAATCACCGAAGCAGGAGTGGAGCTGCTTTAAATCAATTCCTGTTTCTTTAGCATTCACTCAACTTTGCTTGATGTTGAAGATTACAAAAAGACTATTCTATGGACTTTCTGAACAAGACAAATGTAGGACTTGATTAGAACATGAAGATAACATTCCCACTCCTCTCCCCCAACTAACAACACATCACCTCGGGATTTGGGATTTTGGGTTGTAAAAAAAAATGGAATTGAATAAAATCTAACCGCCCTTTTGAGGACATATATACGACAATAGATGGTTTATCATATTCTTAATGATAGGAGGTGGTGGGTGGAGGTTATGCGGCCGGTGGTGGGCCAAGGTCATTTCCCAGGCATCGATCAGATGAACATTCAGTCCTTTGAACATTGCTCTGAGCACTTTATTGCACTGCAGCGAGTGCCAGTCACTGTTGGTTAAGGACACAAAAAGGTTTAAGTCTTTGGGGTTCCCTGTCCGGATGACGACCAGCGTGCCTGGAGCCCTGTCCAGCAGCCGCACCACCGCCCTACGGATGCTCTGTAGCCTCCTGATGTAGATCTCCATGGGGAAAGTGCCAAAGTGAGCCCAGATCCCAAAGACTACCACAGTGTTGGGGCCTCCAATCAAGCCATCTATCTCATTGGCAATGTAACGAAGCTCGCTGGTCGAGACAACTACAATCCGAATTGGGGGGCCGTGGAAGCGGGATGTCACCAAGATGTTGTTTGCAAAGTCCAAGGAGATGTAAGGTCCTGCTTGTTTCGGGCTGTGTAGGTCAAACTCCTTAAGACCTGAAGGTATGACAGGGGAAATATATTAAACTGCTGCGGGAACAAAATCCATCCATTGCCAGATATCCCCGTGGATCAGCTACCTGGTAGAGCTGCGTTGAGGAACTCAAACCACTGCCTGACGGTGGAATCTCCATACATGTGCACTGCCTTGCCTTTCAGACAGTGCGTGATGGCAGACGCATTGAATTTATGAATTGTGAGGCCACCTACTGCTTGCCAAACGCCCTTATAGTAATAACCAGAGGGTCCAGATGTCACAGTGCTGCTCTTCACCTTTGGTTGACCTGAATGGAAGTTAAAGAGTAATTGTGGGGTTATGCCATGCCGTAAATGGTAAAACCAGACCCTCCTATTGACAAATTTAGATTTGTTTAGTGGGTTCATGAGGGAGCCACTTCGGATGACCTTAAATATCAAGCATAAACACGCTGAATGGCCCCATGCAAATGAGCTTGCACTCATTATAATCATAAATTAGCACCAGTCATACTCCAATACTAACATATAAAAGGCACAAGGAATAGGAAATAATGAAGATTACTGATATTCACACTGTCAGTGAAATAAAGAATGCATGGTTCCATATGAAAAAGGTCTTTCACTGGTTAGTCTTAATAAATATGAAACTAAATTTTGCTTTACCTTTTTGTGGCAACACAAAACAAGCAGGTCCTGAAGCCCGAATGGAGACTTTCAAGTTAACACCACTAAAGAAAAGCACATATTAATGATTTTAAATGCATTAACAAGATCAACGCAGGGGAGGCCAAACATGATAAATAATTGAACAAAGAACGATGTAGTCAAGTATGAGAATTAAACCAGGAAATTTACATAAGCAATAAGCAATTTATCCAATATGTAACCTGCAATGCATCACTTGCATTGATGAAACCAGAAATATTTAGTACTATCTACAGAACTTATTAGCACCTTTTAGTTCAAGGTTTTGGTTTCACGGCCAGCGAATTTAACTGTCTTGGTTGAGACTCGCTCTATTAACAATTATGAGATGCTGGACAGCTGATTAACCAATTGACCCCCCTGCTAATGAGATGCAGTCTGGTTAATCAAATTCTAACTTTGGCCATCATTGACCAGGGTCTCACAATGCTCTGCTCTATAAGTTAATTCAACACTGTTAGGTATCACCAAGCCAATTAAGTACCTTTGATGTTCACATCAGTTTTTATGATTCCAGTTTTACTTTTACACTCACCACGACTCCCTCTTGTTTGAAACGTCTTGAGTACCGTGCCCTCATTTCTTCTCAATGTGCTCCCCTTTCCGATTGAGTCTACCTGTGTCACTGTGGTTAGCGTTGTTTGTTGCTATTTTGTCTTGCAATTTACAAAAGACTAATTACAAAATAAAATGACTCGGTATCTGTATTGAGTGTATTTTGACTTGGGGGCTTCATTCAACAGGCTTACATGGATTTAGAGAAAGTATATTCTTTAAATAGGCTTCTCTGCTAGATTACCAATGTATCTGTTTTTACTCCTATCTCACTATGTGTACTTTCCATGCCTGTCCGGAATAACTAGATTTACTGCAAGCCTTCGCACGACTGCTTTTCCTTTATTATTTATCCCACCCACTCTGTCAACACGTTGTCTCAGGGGGCCTCAGGATCGGCCATTTGGTTATCTGCAAGACAGGCTTCATTTCTAGCTTTGTTGTCCAGCAATCGCTTGAGTTCCTTGCTCTCACTGAGACTTGGATCACATCGGACATCATATCCACCCCCTAGTGCTCTTTCTTCCACTTTCTCTTTCAGCCACACTCCCACACCGGCAGATAGGGGTGGTGTTACTAGTTTACTTATCGCCCCCAAATGGACTTTTCCTTTCTACATGTTTATCGTCACGGCAAAGTCTTTTGAGTTTCACGCTTTGACAGTCACTCATCCGATACGATTAAATATTGTTGTAAATATTGTTGTCCTCTACTGTCCACCAGGTTCTCCGTGAGATTTCCTGGAAGAATTAGGCGTCCTTCCCAGAAAACGGCCCTCCGTTCATTCTTCTGGGTGACTTTAACATTCAGACAGAGAAGTCAGCTGACATAGTGCTCTTACTATCTTCCTTTGATCTCTCACTCAGTCTTTCCCCTCCTTCTCACAAAGCCGGCGACCACCATAACAATATCCGCGAAATTTTTGATGATAAGACAATTTTTTAAAACAATTTTTCCCCCACAAATGTAAATCTTCAGTCTTCAGAATCAGAATCAGAATTTTATTTATGGTCTTTAAATACACATTAACATGAATCCAACATATTGAAGTGAACGGATAAATCGATGGAGAAGACGTTATCTGTCAGTGCGCAACACACACGTTCAGCTTCCCTCAGCAGCTCTCAAGCTGGGCACCGGTTCACTCACAGCTCCTTTAATGCGAATACGACAGCGCAGGCACCAGCCAATCAGATCGCGTTTATGCTCACGTCTAAAGAGCGTGAAGCTCAAAAATAAAAGATGGCGGACCAAACTCCATAGAATAGGGGGTCCCTGCTCCACCTCGCCATCAGTTTGGGGGACCTTGGCTTGAAAAATGTTGAAGACCTCTACTTTACTGTATTGTTTAATGAGCAATTGTGTATGTTTCGTAACACTACATGATGTGTATATAGTTCTGTGGTATAATGTGTTATTGGGCATGTGTCCAGGCTTCAGAGCCCGGTAAATATTGGGTAATTACTGCAGTATTTACTGCTTTAATGTTCGATTGGTTTGCTAGATCGATTTCCACAAATGAAAAAAGATACCTGGAACTTGTATCTACTAAGAGAGCAGTAATTCAGTGTCCAAGGTGTGTGATCATGCTTGAAGATATCCTTTGTCACTGTGGTGGCTGAGCTCTGCTTTGCTTTGAGTCTTTCTTTCTTTCTTTCGTTTATCATTTGATAACCCATACATATGTCCCTCCACACAAATAGATTTACCTACAGACAGAGGTTTAACTACACTGGGACCACTAGGAATCACCTCTGACAGCTTGTAGACACACGTGGCCTGCCATTTCTTATCTGCCATGTAAATTAGTAAATTGGACAGCAGAACGCCTGTATATCTTCCTACGCAAACTAAAAGCTTACCTCTACCTTTACCGCAATTCTTTAGCACTTACGATGGCACTTACTTATCACACTGTAGTTTCAATTATTGAAGGAATTGAAAATTGAAGTAATTGTCATTTCTCAATTCTTGTTCTGGGTCTGTACCATCTTGGTTGAATGTACTTATTTTGGATAAAAGCATGAATAAAAAATGTAATGTATTTATAAGCTGCACAAATTACCAGTTTCTGTGCTCCCCCACCTTTGAAAGAGCTTCTCCTCATTGGCCTTGATGTTTGGTTTCGTTCCTCCCATGACGTGGTTGATCCTGGTATCACAGCTTAATTTCTTTGGTTTGTAGCAGAACCAAGGCTCGCCTGTACGGAGGTCAGTGTAGTTACACAGCGGCTGTTTTGTTGGCCGAAGGCAGACGTTACAGATGGTGGTTTCAGAGACTGAGCCTGAGCGGAAGACGCTCTTGAAGTAAATCCTGTCAGGCTGTTCTCTGTTAAGCCTATTCAGCACTGACAAGGCCTCACCAGGGTGAACCAGAGTCACCTGGTTGGAAAGAGAACCAGAATCCAAATATTCAAGTGGTGAACAAGTTCAAACTCCAACAATAATTTCTGGAGAATTGTCCCTTCACTTAAACCCTAGACTAAAAGTGGGAATGTCTTCAACAACAAGTGAAAAAAATAATTAGGACACCATGGTACCTCAACCTGTGCGTCTCCTTCCCAGAGTAAAGAGAACACAGCAGAGTAGCTCCCATTCAGATGGTCCACAACTTGCCCAGCAACACCTGCTTCAAGCTTCCGGTTGTGCAGGCGGGCAGTTATGAAGTCCCCCCCAGACTTCTTGGGACGACCCTGGAAGTCAAAAGTTTGTATCATAACCTCCAGCTGGTCCCCTACATGCCACTGCCCCCCTTTCCTCCCTGGGAGAATGGTGAAGGTGCTGTGGGCTGGATCAGTGGTCTGCTCCAAGGAAATAGGAGATGGTAAAAGTGGAGTTTCAGGCCAAGCAATGGAGTCTAGTATGAGACGTTCCTCCAAAGCGTCCTGGGGGGACAGCGGCTGGAAGGTGCAGAAGCTGCGATTAACGATATGATGAGAGGAGACTCTTGGCATGATGATGGTGGACTTGACTTTAGGCTGAAACTGGCAGGGGGTTGAAAGAGAGAAGGTGTGAAAATACATTAAACACTTGTACTGAAAAAATAAACTATCTAAATTAAAAAGGCAAAGCTTCTATTTCCTAATAATTGACCCATTTTGGAACAGCTTTTTCTTTTCTTTTCCACAATCCAAGATTGTAAATGTTATGTTTTCTGGGATATTCAGAAAGATATACAACTGAAAGATGTTCTTTTTATTGTTTCACTAAAGAGTGATGGTTTTATGACAGTTTTTTATGCAACACATATTCAACTAAATTCAGCAGAAGAGAGGGAAGATTTTTTTCCTCCCACATGTTTCATGCATGATGGTTTAACATGATGTTTCTTGACAGTGGAAGACTGAAGTGAATGAAGTCTTTTCTCAAACTCCACTGCTTATTCATGCTATTAAACCTCATAGTCCTCCCTTCAGTGCACAGCCGTTCAGGGACACCTCACAGCCATTTTATTAACTTTGTATTTTTGACCCATTTCTTAAGATTTAGGTCTTGTTGAGTGAGAACAAATGGGAACCAGTAGTTGTAACAGATGGAGGTTTGGTCTCTAAAGTGTACAATGCAGCTTTATTCTTTAACTAGAGGAGGGGCTGCTGTCAAATAGTCAAGGTGCAGGATTGAGAGTGATACAATAATGTAACTGCATTAAATAATATATAATATAATATAGCAAATTACTGTAGACTGCATTGCATCTGAAAACATCCAGAAACCTGAGAAATACTGGAGCGTTAAAACAAGATCCCACTAAAACTTTAGTAATCACCTCCAGATCGCTCATGTGACGTAGCACAAAGATGAAGACGCACACAGCCAGAGAGAGGAAGATGGCACCGTACTCCTTTCTTATGCAAGCTTTTGCCTTCATGATCACTGGCTCAGTCCTTATCTCTGGTTGCATAGCACTTTGACCTCTTCCACTGGGACTGAATAAAATAAAAAAGACAAAAAACGAAAGGTTAACTGGCTTATTATTTTTATGTTCAGATGTACGTGCACCCGGTATTGAAACTCGGTTGGGATTGTATCACGGATTAGAACAGATCGGATAACAAATTGGATCAAAAGAATATTAAAAAAGGAAATAAATATACCTTTTATGGACCCCGGTCATGTCTTTTTTTGCATTAGATACTAATTGTGGATCATTGGCTTGGCAAGGCATCATTGGCAAGGCTTCCTTTTTTCCACTGACGTGAAGTTAAACCGTGAAAAATTATAAATATTATCCTTTTACTTTGCTTTAGTGTTACGGTATCTGCCTTTTTCTTTCATATGATAGTTCAATTAATTAATCAATATTTTCAGATCTCTCCAGAGATGTTCACTTAGGTTCAAATCTGGGCTGTGACTGAGCCACTTAAGAACTTCGACATTTGTAACAAAGTCACTCCTTTGTTATCTTGGCTGTGTGCTAAGGGTCGTTGTCCTGTTAGATTAACCTTTTCCCCAGTCTGAGGTCCAGGGCACTCTTGATTGGGTTTTCATCAAATATGTTTCTGTACATGCTGCATTCATCTTTACCTTAATCCTTACTACTCTCAGTTCCTGCTGTGGGAAAAAAAATCCTCCCAGCATGACGCTTCCCCACCATGCTTCACGGTAGGGATGGTATTGGCGTATAGGCATATGAGAGGTCCATGATTTCCATCAGACATGATGCTTGGAATTCAGGCCAAAGGTTTCAATCTTTGTTTTCATCAGGTTCTGTCACAACTGGTCAATGGCCCTGAACCTCAATGTTTGTATTATTCAAAGTGTTCATTGCCTAAAAGTCATTTGATTGTCAATCATGACCGACTGCTCCTGAACGTGACGTCAGACACGTAATCTCAGTTCATCCAGAACACCTGTCAGTGCAGTACAAGATTGGAGGAGTTTCTCATTGCCTCGTCTCTCCAAGTAACGTTGGTAAGTGTTATTTGCCTAGCATGATTAACATTCTCTTTCATTCTCTTTCCTTACATCTTGTTGTCTTCCTCATCTTTGTAATTTTAATATTTTAGCAATGACAATGTTTCTAAATATTTTATTTTGGTTTGTTTTACAGAGGCACTGGATTACAGTGAATTGAAAGTGTTCCATAGCGTATTGTTGAAGTTAGTTTACCTTGTTCGTAATGATTTTATTATTATTGTATACATGTGGCATATTTTATGTTTTGTTCTTGGTTACAAATATGTAACATTTTTGTCTTAAAGGCATCTAATAAACTCCAACCACTATGACCGAAATGAGTTTGGTTGTCTTTCTTTGATTTGTGGGGAATTAAATGCAAAAGTATACGATTATAAGTAAACGGTAACATTCTGGTATTTATAACACAAAAACAGTAATCGTAGGGTAACAAACTGTAATCCAATATACGACAACATACAGTATATTACGGTAGGGCACTGTAAATAAAACAGTAAGTTACTAGCGTCGACTGCCAGTAAATTTCACTTAATTTACAGTAAAATTGGTTCAGGTTTAAGGTAATCCCTTTTACGGTAACATAGTGTAAAAACAATTTACAGTATTATAACGTAAAATAACAGTAAATTCCTGGCGTCCTTGCTGCCAGTAAAATATCGTTAATTTACAGTGACATTTTTTAGAGTGTCTATAATAAACTAGAAAAAAGGGCTAGGCTGAAAAAAGAACCAACAGAAATCGAGCCAGAACAAAGCTCCTTGAGAACAATCTTGACCGAAGAGAGTACATATATATTTAAGTTGCTTGAGTATTTACCACATGTGTGAAATCACCCTTCTATAGTTATATATAATAAGCTAGATAGATTTATCAAAGATGAATACACAATTATAAAACTGACAGCTCAGTGAAGAAGTGAGCGTTTGCTGAGTCGGGAGTGACAGTGACAAAGACCTCTGGATTACAAACTGATTACGAATATATCCATTTTTTTTAATACTGTCTGGGTTTTTCCAGTTGCGACGTTAACCTTTTTTGTCAATTTTGGGATTATACTTTTCTAGAATCATCTCAGGATCACGGCTCAGGGCCAGGCAGGTCCTGTATTGTCCAGAGAGGTTGATAATCGTCAACAACAAAAAAGCATAATAATGATGCCCTAATCACATACTTGACTGAAAAATGGCAGATAATGAAGTTTATCTTGACACTTTGATTCTGTGATATTGACCTTTGGAATGTTATTCATAATTCTTCTGCACAATAAGTGCTTAAAGTAGGACATGATGCTTATCAGCATTTTGCACTCTTATTTGCATCAAATTTTCAATCTGTGCTGAAGCTGACCTTTTTTTTATCACTACGTAATCAACAAGTATCCAGTAACTACAGTTGAGTAAATGTGATTGAGTACAAAGTAGTAGAGGAGAGTTTAACATACAAACATAAGTAGCAAATGTAAAACACAAGTTTCCCGACATGTACATTAAGTTAGTTATTGGAAAAGTTTTAGTTTTCATAATTAAATTAAAATTAACTTACCTCAGCAAAGATTCTTTTCATCACAAAGTGTATCCGTCACTTTATCTCTTGCTGGTTTGCTGGGACTTTGTTCTATTTGCTTAACTCTCAGGTTTTGCATTTCAAATAAACAGCAAAGTTGTTGGGTAAGAGGGTTATCGGTATATGGAGTATGGAGACCTCAAAAATAAAAAAATGCACAAAACATAATTCACCTTTTCAAGCCCTCGTAGGCTCTCGCACGGGCGTTCAGGGCTTATTGCGCCTATTTGGATGGCATGTGTAACTAAAAGGTGCTTCCTCAGTGAGGTGGTGTGTGTGCCACTCTGGATCACATTAAAACAGTCAACCTCAATATAAAACAATATGTAAAATGACTGATTCTAAAAATAGTCTCAGATAATTCACACAGCCGTAGAGTCCAATAAGAGAGGTGCACCCTATTTAAAAAGGACATCGAATTGGCCTAGACCTGCAGCAGGCAGCCGGATCCCATGGAAGCACATTTGACAGTGGACAGAGGTGGAGGTCTATGTCACGGTGTGGTTCACTTCCTGTTGTATTTTGTAGTTTTCTGCCACTCGTGTCCCCGGGTAACTTCACTTCTTGCCTTGTCATGTCATCCCCTGTGATCGTCTAATAGTTTCCACCTGTGTCCAATCACCTGCACCTCCCTAGTGTATTTAAGCCATGTGTGTCTGTTGTCACTTGTGGCGTCATTGTCTTTCGCCACGCATGTCCTTGTCTCTCGTCGTTCGCAGTTCCTGTCTCCTGTTTTGCCCCTTGGCCTTTGCTTTAACCTTTTTGACAATTAAAGTCCCTTTTGTTTTTGAACTCTGCGTCTGAGTCCTACCTCCCCCGCAATCCCTGACAGAATGACGCGACCAAAGAAGGACTCAGCAGAGTTTTTTCCCCTGGAAGACTTCAGGGGAACCCGTCTGGCAATGGGCGGTCCACGCGGTCTCCAGCGGGCCGCCCGTAATGGGGGAAAGGTCCTCCCGGGCGTTCCAGCCGGGTACCTGTACTACTCTGTCTCCCCTTCTGGAGCCCTCAGTAGGCATCACGATCCATGCCCCCCACCCCGGTACCGGCCCCACGTTCCATGCCCCCGACCCGACCAGTACCGGCCCCCCGTTCCATGCCCCTGACCAGTACCGGCGCCACGTTCCATGCTCCCGACCCGACCCGTACCGGCCCCACGTTCCATGCCCCCGACTCAGGCAGTCCCCGCTCCCGAGACTGATAGCCTCGACCCTGACTCGGGCAGTACCCGATCCGAGACCTTCAGCCATGACACCCACGCCCCCTGTCCCCCGCTCCGAGACTCATGATCTCCAGGCCCTCAGTTCGAGAGACTAGACCCGCGACGCCCCTCATCACCATCACCTAGAGTCTTGAGACCAACCCCCTCACTGGCCGGCGCCAGACTCAGGAGCCCTCTCTTTTTGCCACCCGCCCAAAAAGGAAGCTTGTAAGATTGACGGGAGTGACAGCTTCATCTCATGATACTAACTGGACTTCCTGAAGAACAATAAAACTCATGAACAGGGTGAGGTTGTAATTATTTCACGCCCATCAGCCTATTATATTGAGAAGGGGTGCAGGTAGCTTGACCCCTGGAGGCCAAGTGAGGGTTTGATCCTTTCCATATGCAAATTGGAACCTGAAAGTTTTTGAAGAATT